TTTTTTAAAGAACAAACAGTAAATTCTGTTGGGTTTTTTATTAGTTAAGATTATGTGATGCTTTGGAAACATAATGCACTTAGTATTGCAATAACTTGATGACTTCTCATGACTTTGCGGGCGCTCTTGGGGAGCCCGTGTGCTAAAACCTGGGTTGGAACTGTGTCCTGGAAAATGTGGGGCAGGATCTGAACTTGTAAGAAGCCAAACAAAACCTTAAATTTAATTCTTATTTTTGTAGGTAGGATAACCTTGCCAAAGAGGAAAGGAATTTGGACAGACTTAACATCCAGCCTGTGCAGCTTCCACGAGCTGGACGCTAAAATGAAGAGAGAGTTTATTCATTCCCATCTCAGCACAGCCCACCAGAATTAAAGGACATTTTAACCTACAAGGGAGATTGGGTCAAAGACTTCCCAACCTGCCTACATAGAGAAGGCTGTTCAATTCCTCTGGCTACCAAGTCTCCACATTTCTGTGTTGGATGTGAAGAGTAAAGGGAGTCTGGCAGGAATCAGGAGGCGTCCAAGTCAGCGTAAGAGACAGCACCAGGTAGAGGCTTGATTCCTTTTTCCTAATATTCTTGCAGTATGCAGTACAGACATTCTTTCTTCTCCTCCCCTTGAACTTTTGTTGATTTCCTCTTCTCCCCATCCGTGGAGCCTCTGTAGTTGTACTTGTGGAGCAGGTGGTATGGTTGGAATATCGGAGCAGCGTGTATTAGAGTGAAACCTACAGACAGAAATAGAAAGTAAATGGGAGATGAATTGATCAGAGGAAAGGCAGAGGATGGAGGGGATAAAGTAAAGGCAAGGAGAGAGACAAGTAATACCTTGCCTGTGTGCTATAGTAATTTATTATTTTTATATGGTGCCCGGGGTGTGCAGTATCTGTTTTACTGAACAAATAGAAGAGTTCTCAGCCCCAAACAGCCAACATATTAATTTATTGTGTGACAGCCTGACAAAATGAGCAGCCAGGCCAGTGTGACGAGGAATAATTTAGTGCTTGTGGAGCATCAGTAACTTTACTACTGGTACCCTCACTTGTGTATGGCATCTGATGGACGTCTCTTTTGTTAGTAAGGACTTACTGTACAAGAAAAATTTCCCTTTCAGGGGAAATCTGACTCGGGGGGTGTCTTAGCGCATGGGACAGGGCTCTGTGTGGAGGAGCAAAGAGGCTGCCAGGTCAGTGCCCTGGGAGGGGAGGGCTGCGGACCTGAGCCCAGGCTGGCACAGGGCGGGCAGCACACACCCCAGAGCGGGGTGTGCAGGGACACGCACAGGGCAGCCAGACGCGGGCAGAAGTGCAGGAAGGGACTGGGCAGGGAAAGCTGGACTGTTTGCTGGGAGCAGGCTCCAGCTGCAGTTTCTGGGACAGCAAGGAGATGACCTGAACCAACAGGCTGCAGTGGGAGAGGCTCCAGTGCAAACCTGCCGTGACCGCGGCACCGGGGGAGCCAGAGCTGAGTTGCTTTCCAACACAGTTATTGCCACTTAAATTGCAGTTTTATTCCAAAAGCAAATTCCAAAGTTTTATGTCCATAAAGGTTTAGACATAAACAAGAAAGAAGTCAGGAAAGTGGTATGTACTGTGTAAACAGTCTCGCTTTATAATTAATGCTGGAGATCAGGGAGCAGCAATGGCTGTGCATGTGTGGTCATTCAGATTTACTGTTGCTCTGATTAAAACCTAGTTGGGCAATAATTTTATGCCCAGGTAGGGGCAGGAGGAGAGCAGGATGCCCCCAAGCAACCCATAAATAGTGTGGTGAAGACAAAGCGTTTATTACTTAGCTTCACAAAGGCTCCCTAAGTGCTCTCCCAGGGTATATATACTCATACCCCAGATGCCAATTCTGCAAATTAGCATTATTTCTCAAAATCCCGTGTAAATAGAAGTCATTTAAATACTTGATTTCATCAGACAGAATCACCCATGGAAATGTCAGTCTCTTTTCCTCCCTTTAGTGGGGTGAGCAGAGGTTTTCACTGCCTGGGTTTTCATTTCTCTTGGAATACTTTCACTGATGGCAGAACCTGGCAGGGTCTGGGATCCATACAGGACTCAGTCTCAGGATTCTGTCCCATCTCAGTGCCTCATGCTGGTGTAAAAGCAACTCTGGGGCAAAAACTTTACTATTTATCACTGAAATGTGCTATTTTGAATTTTCTATCTAGCAGTTTAAATTACTGTGCCAAAAGTGGTTTCATAGCTAAGACACACAGGGAATTAAAGGGATTTGAGATTCTGTCAAAGTACCATTGGGATGTCCCTTTTTTGTAATTAGAGAAGCCACCAGTGAGTTCAGCTCAGGCTTTGCTGATGGGCTGTTGTTTTGTCATTGGGCATCCTGCCACAATAACTTGTTCAGATTTTAGAAACTTTCACAATTATTTTAATCCATTTTTGTATGGGATTCCATGCAAAAACAGGTACCTTAGTTAACAGAGTAACAGTAAAACAGGTTGAGAAAGACCCATAAAATCATTTTTACATAATGAAACAGTTTTCCTAGATATAATATAACATATTAAAAGGTGAATATTTCATGATTTTCCAGGGATAAAAACAAGTGTTGCATTTTAAGGATGCCTGTCTCTCCTGTTCAGGGCAGTAAAGAGACAGACTTAATGCTGAATTTTGCAGGGCACTGGACTTGAGCACCCTTACAGCAGACAAACTGCCACTGACCAGGAGGACAGAGCAAGGAAGTGTGCTTGCTGGGAGGGAAAAAGCACTTTTCTAGCAGGTAGTTTCTTTTTTAATCACAATTGTTTGTACCTGCTGGTGTTTTGAATTTTAAGAGTTGGTTCCAGAGAAACAGAGAAGGGAGAAAGAAAAGGGCAGGTGAATTTGATCATTGAGGCACCATGAGAGGACATGGTTTCATGGTGCTCTGGAAACAAACCAGGAGGAATTACACCAACATCCCCTCTCATGTGCTCTGCTCCATCAGAGTCACTTTTGTAGCCATTGCACAAAATGGGAAATCGGGCAGAAGGTGGGGGAGTGAGCTCTGAAGTGCATTTCTGGGCACTTGCAGCATACCCCATGTCCATCTGAGCTGGTCCTTCATTGCAGACAGTGAGTCTGTGGCAGAGCTAGGAATAGAATCCAAGCCCTTGTTCCAACTCCCAGATCCTCAAGAGTATTTTTAGGAACTTAATACTATTAATTTTATACTCTTTTTGGCCAAGGATCTTAGAAACAAGATCATGCTTCCTCCTGAAATAATTTTTAAAATCCTACTTGTATAGTCTTGGACAGCTTTTTTTCAGGGATCGTGTACAGTTTAGCGCTATTTAGGAACAAATGGGCTTAAAAATTGGTCTTGGGAAGAGTTGTGCATGGGCTGTGCTTTTGTGCAGCCTTGAAGTGCCAGTAAGGATGGGGAGGAGATGGTGCACAGTCTTTGTGTTCTGCAGGGCTAACAGTACCTGTCTGTGAGGGGCTTTGGCCGAGGGCACTGGGGCTCAGGCGTCTCATGTTGGCACGTTCAAACTACTGAAAAGGTGGAGAAAAAGTTCTGCGCCTACAGATTTCTACACACAGTCATATTTTTCGTTGTGCTAACTCAGCAAACCCCTTTAAGCCCTGCTCTGGCATCCTATCTATTATTAATTAGTTGATTTCCTAAAAGCTCATTATTTAGTTTGCCTGCGTTCCTCACAGGGTGCTCAGCTGCAGACAGCAGAACACTCCTGTCACAAAACACCAACACATCGAAAAGGCCAGGCCAGGCAAAGGGGAGGTTGAGACTGGACATTCAGGAAGGGCTGGACAAGCTCTCAGGCATGTGGTGGGATTCCTGTAATTGCACTCAATGTTCCTTGTAGGTTCCTTCTAGCTCAGGATATGTATGATTTAGCAATCAGGAAAAATTTCTTCTCTGAAAGTGCTGTGCAGGCCTTGCACAGGGTGCCCGGGTCAGCGGTGGAGTCATCAGCCCTGGAGGGGATTTACAGGCTGTGCGGTGCAGCACCGGGGCACACGGGTTACTGGTGTCCTTGGCAGTGCTGGGGAACGTTTCCAACCCAAATGACTGCTCCTACAACAGGGCGGGAGAGCAGCTTCCCATGGTGCAGCAGATGAGCGGGCTGTGTGTCTGTGGCTGCCCCGTCGCTACTGCAGGGCTGCTTTAGGGACTGCTCATGGGGCAGCGACCGTGGGGACAGGGAGCAGGCCTGTGTGGGAGAGTTCAGCTGCCCAGGGCAGGCGTGGCAAGAAGGGCTCTCTGTGGCGCTGCTGCGGCGGGTGCTGCCCCAGGTGGGAGAGGCTCCTGTCCTTTGCTCCATCCTCTCCTCGCTCGGTCCAGCTCGGGTGGTAAACGTGCTTATTGCAGCGCTAATGTCCTGCAAGTGGGATCCCACCTCCAGGTATATTAGAGTAATGAGTTCACACCTAACTAATGGAGACTTAATAGAGTTACTAATAGGCTGCCTTTTCCCCCCACGGTTTATGACCCCGCGGCCGGGGC